ATACCAGGTATGCAGGGATGGTTCAGCTTGAGAAAAACAATTGATATAATCCATCACATAAATAAAACAAAAGACAAGAACCACATGATCTTACCAATCAGTGCAGAAAAGGCATTTGACAAAGTCCAACACCCATTCATGATAAAAACTCTCAACAAAACAGGAATAGAAGGGAAATTCCTCAGTATAGTTAAGGGCATTTATACAAAGCCAACAGGCAACATCATCCTAAATGGAGAGACTTTGAAAGCCTTCCCCTTGAGAACAGGAACCAGACAAGGATGCCCTTTATTACCACTCTTATTCAACATTGTGCTGGAGGTCCTAGCCAGAGCAATTAGGCTAGAAAAAGAAATAAAGAGCATCCAGATTGGTAGGGAAGAAGTAAAAGTATCTCTGTTTGCATATGATATGATCTTATACACAGCAAACCCCAAAGAATCCACAAGAAAACTACTGGAACTAATAGAAGATTTCAGCAAAGTTTCAGGATACGAGATAAACATACAAAATCCACTGGATTCCTTTACGCCAACAAAGAGAACCTCGAAGAGGAAATCACGAAATCAATACCATTTACAGTAGCCCCCAAGAAAATCAAATACTTAGGAATAAATCTAACCAGAGACATAAAAGACCTATACAGTGAAAACTACAAGACACTACTGCAAGAAACCAAAAGAAACCTGCATAAGTGGAAAAGCGTACCTTGCTCATGGATAGGAAGACTCAACATTGTGAAAACGTCGATTGTACGGAAAGCGCGCTACAGATAGACTGCAATCCCGATCCAAAGTCCACCAGCATTTTTTAATGAGATGGAGAAACAAATTACCAACTTCATGTGGAAAGGGAAGAGGCCCGGAATAAGTAAAGCATTAGTTACGAAGAAGAACAAAGTGGGAGGCCTCACACTACCTGATTTGAGAACCTGTTATACTGCCACGGTAGTCAGAACAGCCTGGTAGTGGTACAACAACAGATACATAGACCAATGGAACAGAATTGAGAATCCAGACATAGATTCATCCACCTATGAGCAGCTGATATTTGACAGAGGCCCAAAGTCCGTTAACTGGGGAAAAGACACTCTCTTTAACAAATGGTGCTGGCAGAACTGGATATCCATCTGCAAAAAACTGAAAAAGACCCATACCTCACACCATGCACAAAAACTAACTCAAAATGGATCAAAGACCTGAATATAAAATCAAAAACGATAAAGATCATGGAAGAAAAAAATAGGGACAATGCTAGGAGCCCTAACACATAGCATAAACAGAATACGAACCATAAGTAACAGTGTAGAAGCACCAGAAGAGAGACTAGATAAAAGGGAGCTCCTAAAAATCAAACACTTGTGCTCATCAAAAGACTTTACCAGAAGAGTAAAAAGACAAGCTACAGAGTGGGAAAAAATTTTTGGCTGTGACAAATCCGATCAGCTAAAATCTACAAGATACTGCAAAACCTCAACAACAAAAAGACGTATAACCCAGTTAAAAAATGGGCAAAGGATATGAACAGGCACTTTGCCAAAGAAGATATTCAGGTGGCTAACAGACACCTGAAGAAATTCTCACAATCATTAGCCATTAGAGAAATGCAGATCAAAACTACAATGAGATGTCATCTCACCCAAAAAAGGCTAAGCATGAATCCAAAAACCACAAAATAATCAATGCTGGAGAGCTTGTGGAGAGACTGGAATACTTATACACTGTTGGTGGGAATGCAAAATGGTACAGCCACTTTGAAAATCAATTTGGCACTTCCTTAAAAAGCTAGAAATAGAAGTACCATACGATCCAGCTATCTCACTCCTTGGAATATATCCTAGAGAAATAAGAGCTGTCACAGCAATAGATACATGCACACCCATGTTCATTGCAGCACTGTTCACCATAGCAAAAAGATGGAAACAACCTAGGTGCCCATCAAGGGACTAATGGATAAACAAATTATGGTATATCCATACAGTGGAATACTACGCAGCGATAAAGAACAACGATGAAGCTGTGAAAAATCTGGTAACATGGAGGAAATGGGAGGTCATTATGCTGAGTGAATTTAGTCAGTCAGAGAAGGAGAAATATTGTATAAGACGACTATTACAAAAACTCAAGAAGAGGTTTAAACACAGAAGAAAGCATTCTTTCATGCTTACAAGGGCGGGGAGGGAGGGTGAGGGTTATTTAAGTACATGGTAGATAAGAATTATTTTAGGTGAAGGGAAGGACAGTACACACTACAGGGGAAGTCAGCACAACTGGACTAAACCAAAGCTAAGAAGTTTCCTGAATACAGTCAAACACTTTGAGGGGACAGATTAGCAGGGGTGATAGGGGTCTGGGGACCATGCTTTCAGGGGACTTCTAAGTCAATTGGCATAACAAAGCTTATTAAGAAAATGTTCTGCATCCTATTTTGGTGATCGGCATCTGGGGTCTCAAAAGCTCGCAAGCGGCCATCTAAGATGCATCAGTTGGTCCCAACCACCTGGAGTAAAAGAGAATGAAGAACACCAAAGACACAAGGAAAGTATTAGCCCAAGAGACAGAAAGGGCCACATAACAGAGACTCCATCAGCCTGAGACCAGAACAACTAGATGGTGCCCGGCTACCACCAAGTGCCACCCTGACAGGGAACACAGGAGAGTCCCGGATGGAGCAGGAGAAAGGTGGGGTGCAGAACTCAAATTCTAGTAAGAAGACCAGACTTAATGGTCTGACTGAGACTGGAGGAACCCCAGAAAGCATGGCCCCTGGATTCTCTATCAGTCCAGAACTAAAACAGTTTCCGAGGCCAACTCTTCAGACAGGGATTGGACTGGACTGTGGGACATACAGTGAGACTCATGAGGAGTGTGCCTCTTAGCTCAAGTAGATACAAGAGACTAAATGGGCAGCTTCTGTCTGGAGGTGATATGGGAAGGCAGAGAGGGTTAGGAGCTGATTGAATGGACATGGGGAATCGGGCGGAAAGGAGGAGTGTGTTGTCACAGTATGGGGAGAGCAATTAGAGTCACATAAGAATGTACGTATATATTTTTGTATGGGAAAAAATAAAAACAAAAGTAAAAGGCCCATTGTGACCACTAAATTGATTTTGTCACTCACAGTTTGAAAATGTTTTATGGGCTAAACTGGGTGGTTAGTACACAGGTGTTTGTCTTGTTATTTCTCATGCAGGACTCACTCCTTTTCTTCACACACCTGTCAGAAAGAAGCCCCTCCAGGCAGATGGGGGACAGCTGCCTGGGTGATAGATGAGCTTTGCAGAGTGCAGCTGGGTACCTGGGGAGCCCAGGCAGAGTGCAGCTTGGGTGGCCAGATTCTTCCTGTTGAAGGGAGCCTGCTGCAGAATACCCCACTGGAGTGGGGCCTAGCTCAGGGGGCACGGGGCTTGGGAAGGTCCTCTCTGCAGCTGTGTCCTCTGGCCCCTCACCAGGGAGTTGGCCCACACTGTCCTGGGAAGGAAGCCCGCGCAGTGTCCAGCTTGGGTCTCTTGTTCTGCCCAGCACCTGTGTGGGGCCCACAGCATCCTCTTCCTTCACTTGCCCCAGCTGCCTGGAACGTTCTAGTGGCCTTCTGAGCCCTGGCCTGGCCTTCCCACAGGTGCCAAGCCAGCAGTGTCCGTTAATCCGTGGGGAATGCCCACCGGAGCCAGCACACACTCCGTCCCCAAGGGCTCAGACCCCTGGGCTGCTCCGGAGCAGGCAGCCCGGAGTGCCGGGGCGAGAACCTCCGATGCCTGGGGTGCAGCCTCGGCCACCAAGCCTGTGTCCACCTCTGGTAAGACCCAGCCCCAAGCATTCAAGTGAGGGAGCCCGGCCGTATGGATCAGCGCGGGGTCCCGGCACTCCTGTGCACCTGCCTGGGAGAGCCCCTGGCTGGGTCGGGAGAGAAGGCTGCGCTGGGCCCTGTGCGCACGGCCCCCAGGCCTGCCCCTGCACTTAGGGCCCAGGGCAGGCTGGCCTCAGGGAACTTCTCACACACCCCTGTCCCAGCTTCTGGGCCCAGCTCAGATGTACTCTTCCATCACTGGCAACGCCTTAGTTGCGGGGCGTGGTGGAGGCAGTGGCAGGAGCACCCGACACTCTGCACTGGGGGCCACATCCCTGGCCTGGCCCTCATGGTCCTTCCAGCCTACAAGTGACCCAGAGCTGGTCCTGCCCTCTCTGGACCCAGAGTTCTTCTCACGCATGGGGGAAGTTGTACCTCCCTGCCCCCTCCAATGGGGCAAAGGCCCCCTGCCGGCCCAACCCAGGCCGTAGTGGGCTGGGGCACTGAAGCACAGAAGCCACCTAACACGCCCCATCACTGCCTCTCCTGTCCACCCAGGGTCCTTTGATCTCTTCGGTAATCTGAATGGTACAATTAAAGACGACTTTTCTGAATTTGACAACCTCCGAACTTTAAAAAAAACAGGTAAGGAAATATGGCAGTGATTTCCATAACATTCTGTGCATATCAGCTTCATGCACTTCCTCTGTGTTGGGATCTTGGGAGCCTTAAGCGTCTAGCTCTAGGAACTCCCACATAAACAATGAGAAGTCTGCGCTGGAGGTTTTCTTTTCACCTGTCCTCTGTGGGGCTCATGCTTCCTGTTCCAGCCTGTGTCTTGGCCTTCTTTCCTCCGGCCATGTCACCAGGTCAGCCAAGCCCTGGGGCAGGTGCCTTCTGCATGCACACCCTCCTCCTGGGGTCTGACCTTCTCCTTCCAACTTCCTGTTCCCCGCAGGTGCCTCCTTTTTCCACACAGCCCTGTCTTTGGGCATGAGCATCATCACTCCCAGATCATGGCTCCTGCCTGGCTTCCAAGACCCCAGGCAACCCTCCAGGCCCCCAAGACCCCAGGCAACCCTCCAGGCCCAGCTTCCTCCCTGGGTGCCTCTAGGGTGAGGGTGCTGAGAGAATGAGCCTGGGAATGGAGGTGGGTCTAGAGGGGCCAGGGATGCCCGCTTTACCTGCCCCTGTGTGGAACTGGACACAGCCAGGGCCTCTGTCCTTCACAGCAGTGGTCACAGCCACACAAAGAAACTTCTCTTCTTTCTCTTCCCTCTTTCCACTCCCCGACCCTGTCGCCGACCCCTCCTGCCCTGCTCCTCCTCTGCCTTCTTTTGACTCCCCAGCTATGGCCACAGGCCTGGCCAGCCCTGGTCTCAGGTACAAGCAGTCAGGTCCCAGACCAGCCCGCTGGCCCCTCTGCCAGCCAAGGGGTCCTAGCTAGGAGGCCAGGGAAAGCTTTGAGAATATACTCGTTCTTGGGGTCTGTCTTTTGCTGCATTTAAAAAAAAAAAAAAAAAACCGCAGTAAGAGCCCATGTGTCTCTCCACAGGCCTGAGTACAACCTAATCGTCCTTGTCTGCCTTTTGCACCTCTACAGAAAAGCCTCTCAGCCAGGCCGTTGCTCCATGAACACCCTTCCATGGGCTTTCATAATATGTCTCCCAAATTATAGATGCATTCACATTATGGGAAATATGGAAAATATGGCAAAGTTGGAGGAAGAAAAAGTCTTCTATAATCCTACCACCTGCATGCAACCTCTTTGTTTACTTCATGTCACTTGATGTGACCCAGCAGTAATTTATTTAATCATTGATTTTTGGGAGGGCATTTTAGGTTGATTTCAGGTTTTGCTAATGTAAATAATGGTACAGTGAACATCCTGTGCACATCTTACGTTATTTCCTTAGGCTAGATTCTTAGAAAAGGAATTGCCGACTGGTGAGTGTGACCGTTTTTAAGGACCTCTATGTCCATCACCACGTTGCATCCCAACAAAGCAATCATATTCCCACTGGCCTGTCTCAGCAACCTGCTGTTGGCTGAATTTTAAAAATAGTTTGCTTTCTTTTTACTATCAAGAAATTAACGTTCATTGTAGAAAATTTAGAAAATGCAAACATAAAAAATATAAATTCCCCATGCCTGGCCACCAACCCACAACATCTTCATGTTTTGGAGAATTGTGTTGTACATACTGTTTTATAACCCGCTGTCTTTACTTAATACTTCAGTGCCATGTACTTACCATTCATCTCCTCCGGAGATGTATTTACACTGGCTGTGGGTATCTGGTTATTTAACCCGCCCCACAGCTGGTGGCTGAGGCTCTCGCTTGGGGCTGTATGGTCCGTCTTGTAGTGAACATCCCCATCTCCTGTACATCTACACAGGACTGCTGGGGAACCTCAGGTTGGAGGACTGTTATGTGTGGCTTGGAAGTGTGTAGGGTGCAAGTGTGGTGAGCTCTCACCCCCCATGCTCATGTGTGTCCTTGTCTTGCAGCTGAGTGTGTGGCCTCTCTGCCATCCGAAAACAACGGAACCACAAGCTCTGACCCCTTTGACTCTCAGCCTCTGACCATTGCCTCCAGCAAGCCCGGTGGTGCCCGGAAAACACCCGAGTCCTTCCTGGGCCCCAACGCGGCCCTGGTAAACCTAGACTCGTTGGTGACCAAGCCCGCCCCGCCGGCCCAGTCCCTCAACCCCTTCCTGGCACCAGGTATGCACTCCCCAGGCTGCCCTCTGGCTGCTGCCTTATTGCTTAAACCCTCTCTTCTGCCTTTCTGATGAGCTCCTCCCTCTGCAGGTCCCAGACGAGGGGGCAGCCTTGTGGGTGGGAAGGAGTGGAGCCACCAGAATGGGCCCAAGCCTGGAACTCCTTGCTCCAAGGCCACGGAGGTGGGGATGAAGCCATTTGTAGTTGAGGATGAGGTGTGAGCAGAGGGTAGCCCTTTTTTCAGCCAAGATTTCCTTCGTGCTTGGAGCCCCTGTCTGGGGGCACCAGTGTCAGCTCTGGGCAAGATGGGGGAGGGATGGGTGCAGGAGGAGGGAAGAACCAGGGTTTGTTGTCCACATCCCTGCTTTATACGGGAAAATATAACAGCCCTATAGCGTGAGCCATCTTCCAAGGACCAAGCACTCTAACTTCAGCTCCTCGAACCCCACCTTACCGTTCTTGTTCAATCTGAAGCCCTGCTCCACCCCTCCTGGAGCTCTGTTGGCTGCACAATGAGTCCCAGCCCCTTGATTTAGTGTCGGGCAGCTGACCACCCTGTCCTGCCTCTTCTCACGTCCTGCATTCATCAGGCCTCAGCCCAAGGAGCCCCAAACCTGCTGGGTCCTCGTTACCTAACCCAGGCGTTTTCATGTTCTGTTTCCTCTGCCTGGAGGGTCCTCCCTCCTCCTCCTCCTGGGGACACTCCTCCTACAACCCCCAGCTCAGGTGACCCCTTACTCTGGGAACCCCCCACTCCCTCACAGATTCTCCAGCAGGGCCTAGGCCCCAGGGCAGGGAGGATCTGAACAGCTGGAGCTGCACCCTGGCAGGACCTCCAGAGGATGACTGTTGGCTTCAGGGCTGAGGTTGGCACTTTGGGACTGCAGAGTCGTGGAGCACAGCAGGGTGTGGCTGCACCCGGGGCAGGGGCATGGTGGTCCCTTGCTCCCTGGAGCTCTTCTTGAGGTGGGGCTGGATTCCAACCCAGTGCCTCAAGCCAGCCTTGAGCCCATCCCTACCCCAGGGCAGTTCCTGCCTCCTTTGCCCAGCAACCCAGTGGGAGGTCCATCAGCAGCCTGCCTAGGCTCTAGGTGGGCACTGTCAGGCCCTGGGGCAGCTTTTCAGGCCACTGGATTGTCCAGGCCACCCAGCCCACTGTCAGCTGTGGGGTCACACAGCCAGATCTGTAGTCCTGGCACTGTTCCTCCCTAGCTGAGCCCTCCAGCAGGTGACTGCCCTGCCCAGTGGTCTCAGCTTACCTCGGGGGGTTATAGCGAAGTCATGGCAAGGGGTCCGTGCAAGAACCCCCTGGCATGGGTCACTGCAGCAGCGTCGCTTGTGGGTGATGGGCAGCTGCTCCAGCTGACTTAGGGCTGGCAGCTCTGTAGTATTTGGAAGCATACTAATAGATGTTCCGCTAAAAGGGAGAAAGGTTTTCTAAGGTGACACAAGCCCTAGAAACACTGGTTAGACAGGGGCTCAGGTCTTTACTGAAGGCCCCTGGGCCTGCATGATGCCTGCTTCTAGCCCCGCTGCCATTTCCCAGGCCCCCTTGGTCACAGAGCATGGCAGCACTAGCAGGGGCCGTAGTTGCTGGAGGAGGAGGTGTGGGGGCCACACAGCCAGCGCTGCCCCTTCAGGCACGTGGCCTCGGCAAGTTAGTGGCCACACACAACTGGGCCTCCCACCTCAGTGGGCCTTGCTCTTCATGTGGGTGGTCACTGTCTGCCGTGGGCCCAGTGCCACCAAAGGCCCTGCAGGCACAGCAGGGACCAGCCGGATAGTGGTGTCTGTGTGGGAGAGGTGGTCCTCTGCCTCTCAGCAGCTTTGGGTACCATGTTGTCCTAGTAGCTCTGCCCACTGCCCATCCTGTTCTCTCCCCAGGTCCAGCTGTGGCCTCGGCCCCCGTCAACCCCTTCCAGGTGAACCAGCCGCAGCCGCTGACACTGAACCAGCTGCGGGGGAGCCCGGTCCCAGGGGCCAGCACGTCCTTTGGGCCCAGCCTGGCTGTGGAGCCGCTGGCGATGACCTCCGTGGCCCCCGCGGCCCCACACCCAGCTCTGGGCAGCAGTAGCTCCTCCTTGATGCCGCTGGGCCCTGCAGCAATGAACGTGGTAGGCAGTGCGGGCATCTCCCCATCAGCAGCTCCGGCCTCTGGCACAACAAACCCTTTCCTCCTTTAGTGCCCAGACCTGGGATTGCCTGGAGTGGTGCCCAGAGCATCTGTGCCTGAGAGGGCGGACCACAACCTCATGCTGCATGGACCACGTCCGAGAGCCCTGGGAGATCAGGGCAGCCCAGCTCCAGCTGCCCAGGAAGAGCTGTCCTCGCACCCAGTCCCCCCTCAAGCTGCAGTCACTGGAGTAAGGCTGTGGGACCTCAGTGCCCCTGCAGACCACAGCCTGCCGAGTTGGGAGTGGACCTGCCTGGCCCAGCTCTCGCTGTCTTCTGAGCACCCACCCTGGCACCACTAGGGATCTACTGGACCCCCTGAGGCCTTCCGAGGAGGAAGTTAGCAGTGTTACTGAGCAACTCTTGGACCTTGCCCGGCCCAGGATCGGGGCTGTGGCCTTGTCTCTGCCCAGACGGGCTGGGTGTGGGTGGGAGGGGTCCTTGTGCCTGGCCACAGACATGGACTCTTTGGGAGTGGTTGTGCATACTTCACTTTCTTTGACTCGTGTGAGTTCAAAGTAAGCACAATCACCGGGGGACAACTCTTGAATTAAATCCACTAGAGCAAGCTTTAAAACTAATCTGAGCATAACCCTGCCATGTGGCTATATGCTTGTATACGTTTGCACATATTTTGTTTAGTACAGTTTCATATTTGAGTTTGCAGAATTATCTAATAGTCTTTTTTTGGCTAATATTTTTATAATGTGGTTCTTATTTAACTGTCTAGTTTTGATAGAATTTACCAGGTCTGACTGAATTAAGATAGCGGCACATGTCATTTTAGCGGTTTAAATCCTTATTTATGGTTTTAACTCTGTAAGAAAATTTAAAAAGGAGATGTTTGGATGACAAAAAAAATGCCTTATGGAAAAACGAGAGGAAATTTTTGTGACTTTATAGGAAAGAATATGGGAATTTGATTATACATAAAAGATGATGTTTATTAAAAAAAAAAAAACAAAACCTACAACAGCAACAAAAAAACACTGGCCTCCAGTTGACTTTTCCTTCCTTTAACTCCCTATTTTGGTGAATTCTCAAACTGGTGGGCTTTTAGCCTTTTGGCTAGATCCTGAGAGGCTATTTTTCTTACTGATATACCAACACCTGAAAATTAGAGAAAAAATCTTAATGTATGAATGTGACTTACCAGTTTTTTATCAGCTAATTCCTTTTTTTTTCATTAAAGGCATGCACAGATTAACAAGGACTTCTGTTTACAGTGGAATCTGAAATGGAAGAAACGTCTTTAACCATGTGTGTCTGTGAGCTACTCCATCTTGGTCCATGTGGAAGATGGGATAATGTGGACGCAGCACCATCTCAGGACGGATTGTGGCGCTTCTGTCTCCGTGGGCCTGGGGTATCCCCAGGCTGGGATGGGGTGAGGGACCAGGCGGGCCCTCATCCACCCATCTGCCCACTCCAGACACATGTTGCCAACTTAAAAATAATTCACGTCTTACTCTGGAGAGGAAGAAAAATTCATTCTCACACAGGGTAGATGTTTAACAAGCGTGCATCAGTGTCATCTCCCTCTCCCAGCCTCCTGCCTTCCTTGCCCCACCAGCCACTATACAGATAGTATTCGGTCACGTATTAAAGACCAGAGGCTTGCTTCTCCCCAGAGAAGGGCCATTCCCCAGCCATTCCCCGAACCAACAGGGACCAGGCAGAGGCTGCAGGGCTCCTGGCATTCAGCCTGTCTGCTTTTGTTCAAGAACAGGGCATCTGGTCTCTTTCTGCCCAGGGCAGGTGGGGACAGGTGGGGTGTGGGGCAGGAGATTCCCCTGGGAAGGTGTTTTCACCCCAGAGTGGTTAGGGGCCTCGGCTGGCCTTACAGGCTGGTGGGCCAAACTTGACTACTTGGGGTCAGCAATTCCATTGTAACGAAGAAGAAACTGAGGTGCCTCTGAGGTCCCAGCATCTTCCCCTTCATCCATTACAGCCCCCAACCTCTCCCCCTGGCAGCACACTGTCCCTGTCCCCGCTGCACTGATGAAGAGGCTGCCCGGCGGCTGTGTGCCCGATGAGCAGGGGCAGAGGGTCCTTACGGTCCCCTCAGTCCCAGGGCCAGTGCCTGGCTTTAAGCTTGTGTTGACTTGATACTTATTTACTGTATAATTTATCGTTGGTACCACGATGCGGTTTCTCGCTGTCTTTCCCCTACTCACCTTCGTTAATCCCATGACACAGACAGTGGAGGGGCGGGGCAGGGCAGGTGGCCTGGCTGGGGACAGCTTATTTCACCCGGAGGCCAGCTGGTTCTCCTGCCCTTGTGACCTTGGGATTCGAGGCCTCTGAACCTCAGTGGTGGACTGGGGGAGAGGACAGAAAGGAAGTGGGGAGCGGGAGCTGGCAGCCAGTGGGTTTCTGCCCTGGTGAGACCCTGGGATAGCAGGTCTCCAGGGCTGTGACTGATGGAATTGCTGGCCACTAATGCTTTACTCTTTCCAGCACCACCTCAGCGCTATCACTTCTGGAGTGGACGTGACCCCCCCACAATCTGGGCCTAACCATGTGGCTTGCTTAGAGTGAGGTATAGGTGGCAGTGCCGGTTCCAGGCTGGTGTTGAGGGGCCTTGCATGTTCACCTCCTCTTTGGCATCCATGCCACAGGAAGAGCTGCCCCGAGAATCCACGGCCTGCCAGCCCACAGACCCTGATTGTGTAACTGCCGTGAGCCACTGGCTCCTGGGTGGTACAAAGGGCCTGTCCCCTCTCAGACCTGTGATCAGAGGAGGGCCAGCAGCTGAGGGACAGAAACGTGTGCAGACAGGACTGGAAGGGGTGCTTGGGTGGAGGAGGCTAAGGCAGAGGCCTGGACAAGCCGGGAGACATGCAGACTAGGTGGCTGGAGGGCCCTGAGGAGCGCCTGGAGGGAGGGCTGGGAGAGCCCTGAGAGTGAGCCCTCTGCTGGGCTGCCAGTACCACTGCTGCAGCCTACTTTCTCTCAGCCCCAACACGGGACCCACAGCGTCCATTCAGGGACCCGACACACAGACCAAGCACTGGCCTGGAGGACTCTGGGAGCGGCTGGGGGAGGCCTGAGGAGAGTTTGCTGGAGTGACGGGCCGGTGGCAGAGGGTGCCCTTCGGGAACAGGTCATAGGAGAGGAAGAGAGAGGTGAGTTGGTACTCCAGGCCCTGCTGCAGTGGCCAGCCTCCACGCCTCAGTGGCCTCACCAGGCCCACTGCCCTGGAGGTGGCCCTCCAAGCGAGGCTCAGGGACCAGACTGCCTTTATTTCTTGATTCCACTGTCTTCAGCACATGGCTCTGCAGGGGGCTGTGGAAGCCGTGAGAGGTCAGGCCTAGAAGGGCATGCATCTTTTCCACCACACTCCAGTGCCAGGACTGGCCCCACGGCACCATCAGAGTGCAAGGGAGGGAGTGCGGAGATGGCTGTGGTCAGCACATGGCCAGTCTCTCACTGCTGGTTCTCATCACCAAATATTTGTTTCACCACCCCCCCATGGAGCGCATATTCCCTCCCCAAGGGAGATGTTCTAAGGGCCCCCGGTCTCTGCATCCAGCTCAAGTCCTGCATTATTTCTTGGGGTGCACAGCCTGCTTCCCCCGAGGCTGGCACTGCCTGTACACTCACTTCAGAGTCACCTTATCTGCACCCCCAATAAGTCATGGAGTGGAAGGAGCAGCTGCTACAGACAACGTTGGGAAAAGCAGTGCTGGCCTCCTGCCATGGGGGAAATGTCCTGATGATGTGCTGGTTCTCTCTGCCGTAGTCTCTCCTTGGTGGGGGGTTTGGGGTGGGGGCTCATCCTTTTTCTATGACCCGTGGCCACAGTGCAGGTGGGTGTCAGAGCACTCCCCTTAGGCCCCATAGCTTCCTCAGCTTGTGCCTCTTGTGGACGTTCAGGGCCCAAGACCTGTGTCAGAGGCCTTAGTCCAGGCTTAAGTTTCCTTTGGCAACACAGTTCCCTCCTAAAGTTGGTAATCTTTTGACTACTTCTTCCAATCAGTTATGTGTGCAAATAACTGCTGTTAGTTTGGTTAGACTTACTTGTCTACCACTGTTGGCTCCCACACTGACTGGGACTAGATGGGCTAGTGGGATATTAGCCAGCAGAGGCTTGGTAAACACTCACACCCTGGGACCTCTTCTCTTGAGATGCCTCCACTTGGTACCCAGCTGTCATGCTGCAAGAAGCCTGGCCACAAGGAGAGGCCATGCGGAAGAGAACGAGGTGCTCTGGTCAGTAGTTCCAGATGGGCTCCCAGACAACTGTCAGCCATGGGCATGAGCCATCTTAAGACCTCCCAGCTCAGGTGATTCAGATAACTGCAGCCCCAGACGACAACACGTGGTGCAGAACCGTCCAGCTGAGCCCAATCGCCCTAGAATCATGAGAGAGAATACACGGTGGCTGCTTCCAGCTACAAAGTTTTGCGGTAGTTTGTTACACGGCAATAGGTAACTTAAAAGTATACACATAAAATACTTTCCTAGACATAAAAAAAAAAGTTGCTGTCGAGTTGACTCTGACTCATGGTGACCCCATGTGTGTCAGAATAGAGTTGTGCTCCTGGGTTTTTCAGTGGCTGATTTTTTGGAAGTAGATTGCCAGGCCTTCTTCTTAGACATAAAACCTGCCTCACTTCCTTGCTCCCTTACCCCCATACTTAATAGCAGCTACCATGAAGCTACCTGGGGCAATGGTGGGAAGGGCACCTCCTTAAGGCTGAGTTACTTTGTTCAAATGTTTTACTACGCCTTTACTACTAAAGCATTTTTCAGTTATTTTCCTGTTCTAGAATTGGTCTCCTTTTCCAACTTTTTGATGCCAAAATATTTTGGATTCTTTCATTTCTGCTTGCAAATTGGCCACTTCTTTCCCGAGCTTCTCTCTTTATTGTGATAGTTTTCTAAATGCAGCCACCAGTAGCCAACGAACAGCATTAATATCCTATCATCCTTCTCCCTCAGGCACAAGGATGTTCCTGGCAGCTCCCTTCCAAGCTGTGACTGAGTAATCCAGATTCCTCTCTTATGATATCTCCATCTTCAGCACTTGGCCCCAAAGGTGCCGTGGAAAGGGAAGAATAAGAAGGATCACCCGCAGGAGGCTTTTAATGGGCCAGAACTAGAAGTGGTAGGCATCCTTTCACCCCACATTTCTTTGGCCAGACCTACTCACATGGACCCACCTCGATACAAGGGGCCAGGACACACAGTCTTCCTCCATGCCCAGGAGAAGAATGAAATGGTTTGGTGAACACACAGCTGTGTGGCTGTGAAGCATAGACCGATGGCATGTGAGGGGTGACCTGGGTCACACACCTCACCTGTTCTCCATTATATGGTCACAGATCTCCACCCTCCTCCCCACATACCAAGCACATACACAAGCTTCAACCTCCCAAGGTACTATTGTTGTCCTGCACCTTGATAGGGTTGGGTATGCATTTGTCAAAACTGGTGCAGAGTCCACCTGAGATGATGCATTTTTTTGTATGTAAATGTTATTAAAAACAAAAAAACTGAAAACAAAGATTGAACTCTAGTTAATGATAAGCAACCTAAAATACTCAGAGGGAAATGAACTGCTGTCTGCCATTTATTTTTAAATGCACTAAAAACAGGCTAGATAAAAGGACTGATGGAAAGATGAGTAGTTGGATATATGGAAAAACCAAACCAAGTACAGGAAAATAGTAACGGTAGACTCTAGATAGTTCATATGTGGCTGTTTACTGTACAATTATTTCAACTTTTCTGTGTTTGAAAAGTTTAATAAAATGTTGAGAAATTGCACGAATTAAAGTGAAGGGTGAACCACTAAGTCAAAGCTGCGCTAGGTGGTGGAAGTGACCTAAGTCACCTGTGAACACAGGATGGAACAGGATGAGGGTCCAGGGCAGGGCAGGGGGAGATCCACTGGCATGTGGAGGTGAGGAAGTGGACAGAGTACAGATGGCACCCTCAAGTTCTGCAATAAAGGTAGGCTGAGAAATGGAGGGTATCTGGAGGGGCCGAGGGTTTTTTTTTTTTTTTTTGGCAGTATCAGAGCATGTCCACCACTAGGCTGATGCAAATGATCCTGCAGATAGGGGAACACGTGATGGAGGAGGGAGGGGAGAATCACAGACCCCATCCTTGAGAAGCCAGAGGGTGTGGGGGCCACTTCAGGTAGGGTCAGGAATGAATAAAACAAAAGGCAGTCCTCTCACGTGGTGGTGCAGACACGAGGAAGTTCTTCGATAGTTCCCATTTCCTTGCAAGCTCAGCTGCGAGGAGGCCAAGGGGGTACTGAAGTCTGAAGAGAGAAAAGATGTGAAGCATCTTCTCAGAGAAGGTGGGGGCACACATGAGGAAAGGTGGGATTGCCTGGCAGAGTGGCCACTGGAGGCCCGGACTGTGGACTGAGCATGGACCCAGCAGCAGGTGGTTTCTGCTTCTATGGGTTGGGGTTTTGCCAGGTGGCTATAAAGGGAAAAAGAGCACAGGCATCTACAAAAAAGTGCATGTGAATGATGATCATGAACTCCAAAGTGGGTAGGGAGGAAAGCAAGGAAAGGAAGGGCTGGTGGTCAGCAAAAGGGAGGTTAGCCATTTGGTGGCTTTGCAACCAGGAAGGGACGACGGTGTTGGGAGAGGGGACCTGAAGTAAGGAGGCGGGTGTGGGGAGGTGATGGTCTGAGCGGGATGCTTGAGTTGATTCTGGAGGCAATGGTCAACTGGAAATGGGTCTGACCATGGGAGTGGGTGGCTGTTGAGGGGCAGAGGCAGAGTTCCTGGGGTTATCCATGTGGACAGTGATGTCACCAGGAATGGCAGGAGGCAAAGATGGGGCAAGAGGCAGTCCAGTCTCAGTAATCGCCACAGTCAGTGGTGTGGTCTGATGGCCTGGGCTTCAGAGGAGTTGAATGGGGCAGGGATGGGAAACATTTTGTAAACGCTAACAAGGGGCAAGGACTGACAGCCTACCTTTGGGTCCAGGTACATGGGGTGCAGGGTGCAGTCTGGGCTCAGTGAGGGCTGGAAGGTCAAGGGGACTTTCCACTCTGAGACTAAGGATGAAGCACGAGCCCAGCCGGGGCGGGGGTGGCAGAGGCCTGGGCATGTGTGCATGTTTCTCTTGGTGCTAACAGAACTGAGACCAAGGACAGGACAGGGTCATCCCCACAGTCTCCTGGTGGTGGGGGCCTGTCAGAAGCCCAGGCCTGGCACTTGGTAGCATTCAGGCTAAGAGAAGCCCGACTGGGCAGGGCCCCCACTGTCACCCAGTGTGTCTGCTGAAGGTTCTGTGGCAGGGTGAAAGCCTTGCTGTGCACTGGGAGGCGACTGCCTGGTGCTGGCATGGGGTGCAGCGTGAGAAAGCCCAGCCTCAGGCTGAGACCCCATCGGAGTGACCGGGGCACCTGTGTGGTGTGCATAGCCCCACAGTGTGGGCAGAGCCTCCTGGCCCTGGGGCCATGGCAAGTGGCCAGGGTATGGGCTACAGGAGCTCACCTCCCGCCAGGTCAAGGCTAGCTGAGTTAGGGCTCCAGCAAGTAGCTTCCTGCGTCTGGGAGGCCATCCTCCTCAGCTGTGCATAGGGAGCAGGCAGAGGGCAGGCTGCAGCCCATGTCCACAGGCAGCTCAGTCAGCTCTGCTAATGCCATCTTCCCAAGGGAAGCTGGCAGTCCCCGAGCATTGTGGCCGGACAGTGCTGGGCCCAGGGAAGTGCCTCTGTTCAATGCCTGCTGCCTCCAAGTGGACCCTGGGCCCACGCTACGGAGAGGCTGCAGACACGCAGAGGTGTGAAATTAGAGCTCTTGGCCCAGCTGCTATCCTGTTCACAGTTCCCCAGGCATTGCCCATACCCAGGCATTGGCCATCCCTGGGAGGGTCCATCCCCCAGCTACCCACTGTGTTACCCTGGGTATGGCACGCCCTGCCCTGGGGGGCTTTGGGAACTTCCTCAGGCCCACCAGGGGTGAGCACTTGGGCCTGGGGAACACCAGAGCTGGGAGGGAGGGTCTTGAGGTGGTCAGGAAAGGCTGCCATGCCTGACAGTGGAGGTGCTAAAGGGCGAGAAGCTCCAGGCTTGGGGTCTCTGGAAACGTGACTTTATTATAAAAACGTTCTCAAGGCTGTGCTTCTGGTCCACTTTCCGAAGCGGTAGCATCAAGAAGAGCCGCTGGGCCTGCAACGCCAGATGGGGCAGCAGCCAGAGCCCTCACCAGAGGACATTCTGGGGCAGGGTGGGCCCTGAGACGCCCTGTGAGTCCACAGGCCCCATGTCATAGCCCAGCTTCCTCATGTCCTTGGTGACTACGTTGAAGAGGAGGGTGACGAAGCCCTGGGAGCGGACCCGGGTCACTGGGGACAGAGGGTGGTATGTCAGCAGGACCAGGCCATGGGGCCACAGTAACTCCTCAGCCTCAGTGCTCTTCTGTACAGTGGGGTGACAGTGCCTGGCTTCTGTCCCTCAGAGCAGTGAAGGGGCCACAGCAGGGGTGGGGAAGACCACAGCAGACCCTCTGTGCCACACCTGGAAGGTGCTCTGGGGAAATTCCTGGGTCCCTGCTCCTGCGGCCCCAACCCCCAATGCCCACACCTGACATTCCCCTGCTGCTTCCTGGGACCACCTAGCCCCTGCCCAAGCTTCAACACGCCTGTGTGTGGAGTGGGGGGGTGGGGGGGTGGAGGTCAAGCTTTACCTTCCCGGCCTTCACCCTGAGCCACCACCTTGGGGTCTGTGTACTCGGGCCGCCGTCCCATGAACCAGCTGGGAAAACAGGACACGCTGGCGTGAGCAGGGCTCTGGCCTGGGTCCTCAGGCCCACCAGACACGGGCTCTCTCCTTGTCTCAGAAACTAGCACCGCCCCCACCCCCAGCCTGCCCCCTACCCTTTCTGCCCATCTGAAAGGCTAGTCTGGGCACCAGGGAGCTAACACCCTTGTCCAGATCAAGCAGAAATGGGGGACTGGCGGGCTTCTACCAGGCCTGTGGTGCTTTCCCACCACAGTCCTCCTGTGGATACACTGTGGACACGGAGGGAGATGCTGGGCAGGGGTCAGGCATGGCCTGAACCCAGGTGGAAATCCCAGAAATGTGGCTAAAGCTGAGGCAGAGGAGGAGAGGGATAAGGGCAGGGGGTCCTGGGGGGCAGGGTGCCACTTCCTGGACTCCAGCCTACCTTGAGAGACCGGCCAGCAGGGGCAGATTTGGGGTCGGCTCTGGGCTCCCCACCTCTGCCTCTTACAGTGTGTGGTCCAAGACATTACCCATCTCTGAACCCCAATGTTCTCACTGTGTAATCGGGGGAATGATGGCACCTGCCCCATGAGGCTATGAGGTGAGGGCACTCTGTAACCTGCCACATAAAACACCAACCTCACCACTCAGACTCACCTTGTGATCACAGACGTGATGGCATCATGTCACCTCCCATACTCCCAATGCAGGGGCCAAGGCCAGCCAGCCAGGAGCTGGCTCACTCAGTGCCTGGTCACAGAGGCTCAGGGCAGGCCCAGCAAGGCAGACGTACCCAGGCCCGGGCTGGCAGGGCCCTTTCCAGAGCAGTGCCACACTTCTGACACACCCACTTGAGCCGGAAAAAAACCAGGAGCACTATTCTCGGCCAGGTGAGTCAGGCAGACGTGGGCCTGGTCCCAAAGCGGCCTCCTGGCCTCCCAAAGCCAATCTCGTGCTGCCAGGGCCTCTGAGGTGAACAGTGCCACCCAGCACAAGGGCTGCTGAGCCTCTGGAAATGCCCTTGGGTGCTTCTGTGCACCTCTCTGGTCCCTGACCTTCTGCAGGAGCAGCTCCCAGCACTTCAGCAGCAAGCTCCCTCCAGGGCACTCCCCTGCCCCAGGAGGCTGCTGTGGGCAGTGGCTCCCCTGGGAGGAGAAGCAGCCTGGAGAGGTCCAGGGGGCGTGGTTGCAGGGCCTGAGGGCCTGCACACCAGCGCAGTGTGCCTTGCTGCACCTTGCTGCCAAGCGTCCCTGTCTGATTGGCAGGGAGACTGGGAGGCAGCAGAACCCCAGAGGCGGTCCCCAGGTGTCACTCCACCACCCTGCCCCACCCCATGCGGCCTGGGGTGGCTCTCCGCTCACTGGCCCAGGGCAGTACTACCCAGACAGGGTGAGGTGAGCTGAGGCGAGGTGAGCTCCCAGAGGCCCATGCCCACCCCAAATCGGGCTGGAGAAGGTGTAGAGATCACAGGGGGGATGTCCCCATGGACTCACAGCCATGCTCCATTCCTCAAGAGAGGGAGGGAGAGGCAGTGCATCTCGTGAGGGATCTAGATCCTGGGTCCACTAGCTATGCGCAGCCTGGGCAGGCCACAACCTCTCTGCTCCTCAGTCTTCAGCTGCAAAGCAAGGCTACTGCCAGCACCCACCTCCAGGGCTGGGTAGGGGCTGAGGCTGGTGGGGCAGGCATACAGCCTCAACCCTGGAGCTACCCTTCTCACTAGCACTGCCTGCCAGGCCTGGGCTGTGACAGACCACCTTCAGGGAAGGGCTCCTGGCAGACAGCACACGTTCCTGGGCCTGCAGCAGGAAGGAGCTTGTGGGCGGAGGAACTGCAGGCAGGAGGCAGAGCAGAGGTCACAAGGCAGCCGGGAGCAACAATGTTGCCGAGCCTCCTCACCTGGGGATGTGCCTGGTGGTTTGCTGCAGGGGAAGGGCATGGCCTAACTTGTTTTTGTCGCTATGGGAAGACTAACTTGGAGGGGCTAAATGATGGCCCCCAGGTCCTAATCCCTAGAACCTGTGAATGTGACCTTATTTGGAAAAAGGGTCTTTGCAGGTGTGATTAAGGATCTTGACATGGAGAGATTATCCTGGATTATCCGGGTAGCCCCTAAATATAATCACAAGTGTCTTTATAAGAGGGAGGCAAAAGGAGATTTTGATACAGAAGAGGAGGCGGCCATGTGACCACAGATGCAGAGATGGGCGTGATGTGGCGACAAGTCACGGACCACCTGGAGCCACCAGAAGCTGGGAGACAGGAAAGATTCTCCTCTAGAGCCTTTGGAAGGACAGTGGTCCTGCTGACTGCACATTTCAGCCTAGTGCTAATGATTTTGGACTTCTGGCCTCCAGAACTGAGAATCAATTTTGGTGTTTAAGACATCAAGTCTGTGGTCATGTGTTACAGTAGTCACACGAAACACACGAGGCCAAGCATACATATGGGCAGGCCTGTCAGGCCACAGAGTGGACTGGGAAGAGGGGTGTGGAGAGCTGCGACTGCCAGAGGGTGCAGTGTGGGGACAAAGGCTGGGGCACACAGTTTCAGCCTAAGTCCCACAATACCAGAGCATGGGGAGAAGGGCTGGGAGACGAAGTTCCGGTCTGAGTCCCGTAGTACCGGCGCCAGCTGTGCAGACTCCCCTGCTCAATCTGACAGACTTGCCATGTCTGAGCAGATGGTGCCCATCAAACTGCCCTCATCAATCAGACTTTCCCCAGTGTGGTACTCATGCCCACATTCCTGTCCAGGGAGACCTCTTTTGAAGGGCTCACGAGGGCCCCGGCACCAAACTGCTGTCCTCCAGGCACAGGCAAACCCGACCATCAGGTGTGAGGGCTTACGGCTTTCTCTTCTGGCAGCAGAACCTTTTCCTCAGTGAGGTTCTGTGTGAGCCCAAGCCGCTCTGCTAGGAGCTGTGAGATGTGGGCATGGGTAGAAATTCTGGCCAGGAGGGTGGGACTGGAGCCTCTCAAAGCCCTTCCCCAACCCCAATCCTCTGTACATATCACCCTGCTGCCTTCCTGTCAGCCCTAGGGGATGGGCATCATCCCCTCCAGCTTACAGGGGACAATCTGGCAAGGATACCTGGCTCCTCGTGGCCGCAGGCATCCCAGACACTTGAGCTGAGGCCAGTGGGGACACTGCTGTCCCTCCCTCCCCAGGCTTCAGTGATTGGTGGGGCTGGCCTCAGTGTTGTCCCTCTGCTCCTCCTATGCTCCCTCCCCCAAGCTGTGCCTGGCCCTAGCAGGCCCTGTCCCCCTGTCCTGGCTGTGGATGGAGAGCCAGGGTCCATCCTGCCTGCATGGTTAGGGAGCTGAGCTGATGGGGCCCAACTGGCCCTCCAAGCAACTCCTTTGATGTGGTAAGAGGTGAGAGGCCTTTCAGCTCGGTCTTCCTCCACTCCCATCCCGAGAGCATTCGTGGCAGGCCCTGCTGGCCTGCTCCTGCCTGCCTCTCTGACTTTCCCCACCATACAGCCCTGCTTACCACACCTGAGCTGCACTGGCCTCCTTGCTGTTCCTGACATGCTGAGCACATTCTCTCCTTTGTGCACACTGTTCTCTATGCCTGTGACGTTTTTCCCCCAGATCTTTCCACGGATGGTGCCTTAACTCTGCTTTAGTCTTTGCCGAATGTTACCTCCTCCCAGAGGCCTCCCCAGCTTGTGACCTTGGCCAGGTACTTGACTTCTCTGAGCCTCACTCTCCTAATCAATAAAATCAGGCTAATTATAGGGCTTAATTACTAAGTAAAAGGGTTTCTACAGGTTCGTTAAAAGGTAGAGTGGGCCATTTGTGAAATGAAGACAACAGAACCCACCTAACCTAGTTGTGAAGAGTACATAAATTAATACATGGAAAGCACGTGGAGCAGGACAAGGCACTGACTGATAAGAGTCACCTGCTATTAGGATTACTGTGTCATGCTGTTTTTCCCAGGCTGCTGTCTCTCATCTCCTACCCTTTTAATGTCACATTATGTTGTGAGCAGTTTCCCATCTGCTCAAATGGACACAGGGACCTTCAGCAGGGCTCAGAGTAAGACTGCACAGCCTTATGCTGCTAGAAGAGTAGCTGGTGGGTGCCTCCTGCCCCTTGAAGACCCTGAGGACCTGTCTCCATGACGAGGCTATGTGACACATAATGAGTGGAAAGTGACATCTGTCCACCCACTCTACTTAAATCAGAAGCGGGGCTGGGGTGGGGCAGAAAACTCACCTTGTAAACTTCTGCAGTTTAGATGTAGATTCTGGGACAAACATGGGGATGGTGCTCTTGTGCCTAAAACAAATGTATTCACAGAAAATGTGGCTCACTGAATGTGCTGCATGACAGAAACATAACAGAACTTTCTGAGTCCAGTGAAGTGCAGCAGGACAAGCACGGACCCAGGAGGCCTGGCTGGGGCTGGACCGAGTTAGAGTAAATGCCAGAGACCCACCCTACTACCTGAGCACTGGCCTTCACCTGCTGTGGGCACCGCACAGGGAGAGTCCTGCATTCTTTTAAAGGGCAGGGGGGATGCTGCAGGCAACAAATGAGGCCTGGGTCTTGGCTCATACCATGCTTCAGCAAGCCCTGGCCCTTCTCCACATGTCCACATCCTTTGCCACCTTCAGGGCCAAATTTGGATGCCCTTCCTCCAGGAAGCCCCTGCCAATTCCCAAGACCTTAGCCCTGCTGTGGTCACCTGCTCCAGTTCTTCCCCTAGTGCCTAGGGTCCTAGCCTTCACCCTACCCTGGGTGCTACCCACTAGCCCCCAGGCCCTGAGCCCACCACCTGCCCACCAAGCCCCTCCTTCCACATCCTGCACTTCCTGTTTCAGCAACAGCACTCCTCTAAGCTCCCAGCACACCACTGTCCCTTCTTCCTCCCCCTCCTCTGGACACACTCCCCATCCTTTAAGGCCAGATGACCTGCCCTCCTCTAGGCTCCAGGATACCCCATGTCTATACTGTCATTGCACTTGCCGAAAAGGACCAAGTCTCCCCGTCTTCTCCACTGCTCCAGGGGCTTCTGTGGGCAGGCCTGTGTCTGACGCACCTGTGTGCTCTGGTGCTCAGCAGGGCCAGGGCACAGAAAGGGCTCCCAGCCCAGGAGGTGAAGGACTAAATGAAGGCAGGCCCTAAATGCACAGCACTGCCTCTGGACCAGCCTCCTTTCAGGACCCTGCTGTTCCTGTGGGGTGCTCTGACCTGCCCGTCCCACCTGGACTCTGGACTGCAGCATGAGCCTCATCCCTAGTCCTGAGGCTCTCTGTCCAGACGTGGGCTGCCTCCCTCCAGCACCTCCCCAGACTGAGCTGCCAGGCCCCCAGTGACCCCAGAGCCCTGTCTGTCCCCAGACAAGCCCTGCTGAAAGGCCCTGTCCCAAGGAAGGATGGCCAAGTGAGGGGCAGGCTTCCACCCAGGGCCCAGCCTGGAGCGATGACCTACCGGCCAGGTGAGAAGGGCACGTGTACCATCCCATAACCACGGACCACGTCGTTCCCAAAAACGTCCGGTCCGTACACGCTGAGCACCATCTGCGGCCCTTGGGAAGGACAAGGTGGGGTCAGCACGTGGGGAAATGCTGGGGAGGCACAGGGCAGACACGGGGGTGTGTCCCACGAAGTTGGGGCAGCGGGCTGGCTGGAGGGCAGGGGCAGACATGGGAATCCCTCACCAAGGGCGTCTGCCAACCCCAAGTCAGTCAAGGAGGGTAGGAAGGTGTGGGGACCCAGAACCTGCCAGCCAGGTCCTGCTTGACCTTTTCCTTTCTGTTCCTCAGCACCCGGCCACAACACCAGAGGCACACAGGCAAGGTGCCACAACACAGTAAATGCCTCCTGAATGCCCACAGAGAGCCAGGCTCTGTTCCAGGCACTGGGAACAAAGCAGACGAGGGCTGCTCCTCAAGCTTCCACCCTGATGAAGGCCGTCAGGCCCAGGGTCAGGGCTCAAGCATGTACTTCAGGGGACCTGAAACCAGAGAGATGCTTGCTTTGGGGGAGTCTGCAGGAGTCTGAGAAAGTGAAGGCCTTCCCTGCATCTTCCTTTAAAATATCGACAATTATGCCTGTTCAATGCTAACACTTAGGCGGACTAAGTACTTTCACTCATTAGCTGATCCACTCCTCTGGATGTTAAGACAGATTCCTACCCCTGTAACAATGAGGCCCAAAGGGCTCTGAGCACCGGTGAGCAGGGCCTGCTCAAGGCCTAATCCTGCCACCACTGCTTAGCAACCTCAGGCAAGCCACCTAGTGTCTCTGCATCTGACTCCTTATCTCTACAGTAGGAAAAATTCCACCTCATAAGTTGTCATGAGGATTAGTTACTACTTGAAAAACACTTGGAATAGTACCTAACACAAAGTAAGTGCTCAATAAATGTTAAGGAGAGATCTGTACCTTCCCCATTGTACCTCAAAAACGTAACCACTAACCACTACTGAATTTTATGAAACCACCTCCTTACTTTTCTTTAAGAATGCATCCCAAACACTGTTTGAACTTCATACAAATGGTATCATACAAGATATGTATTTTGTATCCAGCTTCTTTAATTCAACATTGTTTGTGAGATTCATTCAAGTTGCTTCATGTATAGTAGTTTGTTTTCAGTGCTGTATAACATTTCATTATCTGAATATATCATAGTAATTTCATTCTAGTGCTAATGGATATGTGGGTGGTTTCTTCTTTGAGGGCTATTACGAACGGTGCGGCTATGAGAAGTCTTGTACATGCCTCTTGGTACACATGTGCACACATTCTGTTGTGTCCAAGAAAGGAGCTGCACAGAGTATACATTTGCTCAGTTTTAAAACATAATACCAAACTGTTTTCCAGAGCTTGTATCAACCTCCACTCCTACCAGCAGTGTCATCTGAGTTCCCAGTATTCTATAGTCTCACCAAAACCTGGTGTGATTGTTAAGTGTGTGTGTGTCAACTTGTCAGATATTAATATAGCCACTCCTGCTCTTTTTTTGACTGTGGTTTGCTTGATATATTTTTTTCCCATCCTTTTGAGTTTTAGTTTGTTTGTGTTTTTAAGTCTAAGGTGTGTCTCTTGTAGGCAGCATATAGACGGCTCATGTTTTTTACTCCATTCTGCCACTCTCTGTCTCTTTATTGGTGCATTTAGTCCATTTACATTCAGCATAATTATTGATAAGTATGAGTTTAGTGCTGTCATTTTGATGTTTTTTTGTGTGTTTTGTTGAGTTTCTTTGTTCCACTTAATTTTCTGTGCTGAGTCATTTTTCTTCATATATTTACTTGTCATCTTTTTCATTGTTGTTGATTTTGTATTTGCTGAATCTTTATATTTTTGTTTTTTATTTTGATGTGTAGGATTGTTAGTTTCCTTTGTGGTTACCTTAATATTTATTCCTATTTTTCTAAGTATAAACCAGTCTTTTATTTCTTTATATTGCCTTGACTTCTTCTCCACATGAAAAATCTATGTCTACATTTTTTAAGTCCTTCTTTTTTGTTTTAATGTTGTCATCTTTTACATATTGACATCTCTGTCTCCCTATTTTCAGTGTTTTAGCTTTGATTTATTTTCGTGACTTCCCTCTCTGGGTTGATATCTGGTTGCTCTATCCTGTGTTCTAGTCTTGGGTTGTTATCTGATGTTATTCATTTTCTAACCAGAGAACTCCCTTTAGTATTTCTCGTAATTTTGGTTTGGTTTTTGCAAATTCCCTAAACTTCTGTTTCTCTGGAAATGCCCTAATTTCGCCATCATATTTGAAAGACAGTTTTGCTGGACATATAATTCTTGGCTGGCAGTTTTTTTCCTTCAAGGCTTTATATATGTCATCCCATTGCCTTCCTGCCTGCATGGTTTCTGCTGAGTAGTCTGAGCTTATTGTTATTGACTCTCCTTTGTAGATGACTTTTTGTTTATCTCTAGCTGCTCTTAAAATTCTCTCTTTATCTTTGGTTTTGGCAAGTTTGATTATGTCCTGGTGACTTTCTTTTGGGATCCACCTTATGTGGGGTTTGATGAGCTTCTTGGTTAGATATCTTCTCATCCTTCACGATATCAGGGAAGTTTTCTGCCAACCAATCTTCAACAATTCTCTCTGTATTTTCTGTTATCCTCCCGTTCTGGTACTCCAGTCACTTTGCAGGTTATTCCTCTTGATAGAGTTCCACATAATTCTTAGGTTTTCTTCATTTTTCATTTTTTCTCATAAGTTGGTGTCAAGTGTTTTATCGTCAACCTCACTAATTCTGACTTCTGTTGCCTCAGTTTTGCTCCTATGACTTTCTATCAAAGTGTCTAATTCTGAAATTTTATTGTTAATCTTCTGGATTTCTGATTGCTGTCTCTCTATGGATTCTTGCAGCCTGTCATTATGCTCTTCTCAATCTTCTTAAGTTCCTCTATTGCTTGGTCTGCATTTTGCATCATTTCCTTCCTGATCTCTTGAGTTCTGTATATTAATCTTTTGTATCCTGCCTCCAGTAATTCCAAGAAATTTTCTTCCTCTGGAAAACTTCTAGATTCTTTATTTTGGGAGCTTGCTGAAGCCATCATGCTCTGCCACTTTCAGTGATTTGATATTGACTGTTGTCTCCAAGTCATCAGTAAGTTATTATATTTATTTATGTTTGCTTACTGTGTCCTAGCTTCTTTTGTATTGTTTTGATATGCCCAAATAGGCTGCTCGTGTGAGCTAGCCCAATCACCAGCACCCCTGAAGCTCCAACGTCCTGCCACCAGGTGGCCAGACCTGCCACTAAGTATGTGAGCCCAAGAGTCCACCCACTCCTCCTGTATGGATTCAGCTCAGGTGTACAGGTAGTTGGCCACCAAGTGTGTGGTGCAGGCTCTCACCTACAGTCCTAGACAGGCATGGGTGATTGGTGTAGGCACAGACATCCGGCTGCAGCAGGGGGTCACACACTGAGCAAGGCAGGGCGCCGATGGCCACCCGACTGTCCACGAGGAAAGCATGTCCCTGTTCCCTAGAGCGCGTAGGTGGGTGGGTTTTGCAGCCTGACTATGAGCACCCAATGCTGTTGACTGTAAGGACTGGGGGGCACCACTTATTCTTGGGCCCCTGTCGCAGGTGGCTAGATAGTATGGGTGGAGCTACCAGTCCTCAGGCCCCTGATGTGGGTCGGTGAGGACCCTGCTTAATGAGCATAGTAGTGTCAGATGTCACGAACCTGCCACTTCACAGCTTAAACAGCTGAAGTTAGACTTCAGGTATATACCCTGTTGTACTGTGGTAATAAGGGCCTATGCTGTTGAAACGGGCCCACACAAGTCTCTGCAGCGGGAAAGGCACTCAAAGTCTGTGAACCCCTTATGCCTGTGCTTAGGCACAGGAGCTGTGCCTGTCCTAAGTTCCCAGCTTAGGGGAGCTGGCAGATTATTTGTTCCCCAGTTTGTTAATCTGTTCCCTCTCCAAGGCCAGGAGAATGGCTCAGGGTACATGACGGGTCCTATTTCCAGCCCAGGGGACTTGGCAATCGCTGAAGCCATCATGGACCCACTGCAGAGCAGGAAGTGGGGAGGTAAATGGGAGAGAGGTTTTTCCCTAAGGGGGATTTTTTGATCCACGCAGTAGGCCAGACACAAGTACTTATCTTTCACCGACTGAGGACTGCTTCTCAGTGGTTCTGAATGGTCGACTAGACTGTCTCCCGCTGGGTCTCTCCCTATGTGGAAAATGCCTCCTGAGCGCCACTGCTTGCCTCACTGTGCACCAGGAGCTGATTCAGCCTGAAGGGCTCCAGCTCCTGCTGGGTCAGGTCTGGCAACTTGTTGCTGCTTCCGAACCATCTCTCCCTCCCCCTGCCTCTCAGTCCAATTCCTCAACTTTACCTTTGATGTTCAGGGCTCCTAGATTGTCATATATAATCGATTCACTTGTTTTTTTGGTCTTTGTTGTAAGAGGGACCACCAGAAGCATCTGACTACTCCACCATCTTGGCCTTGCCTCCGTGTGTGTCAACTTGGCTGGGCCATGATTCTCAGTTGTTTGGCAGTTATGATTTAGTTTGCCAGTTATATAACAATGTAGTCACCTCCATGATAAGCTTTAATATAATATGATCACCTCCATGATGGGATCTGCTGTGAGTAACCAATCAGCTGAAAGGGAGTTTCCTTGGGGGTGTGGCCTCCATCCAATATAGGTGGAATTTCTGGCAAGGCTTGTGGGCTTTTGCTCACACTGGATCCTGCAGCTGGCTCCTGTTTGTCTGACCTCCAGTTCTTGGGACTTGAGCCAGCAGCTTACCTGCCGATCTTGGAATCTGGCAGTCTTCTCATCCTGTGAGCCAGAGCTCCGTCGTCTGACTTGCTGATCTTGGGTTCACCAGCCCCTGCAGTATGTGAATGAGAAACTTCCAGCCTGACCCACAGACTTGGGACGTTAATCTCTACAAATGCATGAGTCATTTCTTTAATATAAATCTTTCTCTATATGTATTTTTACACTTCACTGGTTTTGCTTCTCTAGAGAACCCAGCCTAAGCCACTTAGCATTATCAGTATTTTTAATTTTAGCTATAGGGTCGCT